AATGTATTGGCATTTTTCAAGTAGTGTAGTTGGAGAAATAATAATAGGTTTAAGCAATACCCTGAGATTTTCAAGTATGCAGGCTTAGTATAGCCTATTTATTTATTTAGTCCCAATTTCCCCCATAGTGATTGCATCCTAGTCCCTCCCAAATCTTCCACTGAGAATCTAGTTAGATCATTTCTGATTATTATTCACTAAATTTATATTTAGCATTTTTTGCGGTATTATTAATATTAGGAGGAGTTCTATTACAGTGGTAACCAGAAGTACTATATGTACAGTTTAGTTTCTGCCAAGATCATAATTTTCTAGCTCTGAATTCATGAAAGTTGTAGCCTTCTTGTGCTATAACTCACTGACTATGGCATATTCAATCAAAATTCTAACTCAGGAAATATTTTCTTTAATTGAACATTATATTAAAGGATACTCAGACTTCATTATCTTTACAAGACCTTTTACTATACCAATTGTGACATAATTAGTTCTTAATTTTCAACACTGAATCTTTACGTTAATTAACTGGTCCACTTCCTTCTTTAGTCCTATAGATTTACTCAGATAAAAATATTGTTTTAGTCAATATGGTCATTTTAAAAGATGAGTGATTCTGTTAAATTTCTTTTTGCCAGTGTTTTCATTTAATCACTATATGTAGATATTGTATTTTTGTGGTCTTTAACTCATTGCTAGGATAATTATAACTTGTTTTAGACTTTATATGTTAACAATGATATAGTTTTGATTTGTGTGTTGTTGTTTTTGTAGATTGAGAGCAAAAATGAGTACCCCCTCAGCCCAGTGAAGATTTCCTGAGATATCTGGAATCTAATGTATCTGATAATGCAAGCATTTCTGTTCTTACTACCTACTGAGTCAGCCAATAGAATGCTGAAGTTAACACAACTTTCTTGTTTTGTGTCCATGGCTGGGTAGTTGTATGCATTGTTCTCTGTAGCCTCTGACTATTTTAATTTCATTTGGTAGAATATGTTAATACCATGTCCACCCCCCCTCCCCCACCCTTGGCATGAGAATACCTTGAGCCTCCTGAGTGTTGGAAAGTATTCCTGGGTTGGATTTTGTGAACTTTTGAACAGGGAAGCAGTAAAAGAAAGGGATGTGGCTTATGAGTTTGACAGTAAGTAGATGCAGTCTCCGCATTTTCAGACATTGTACGGACATTAGATTCCGTTATCAATGAGGTGCAAATACCATGGATTTGGGTCTTCATAGGTTGGGGTGGGAAATACGTAGAGAAGGGATTACGCAGGGGTGGGCAAACTTTTTGACTCGAGGGCCACAATGGGTTCTTAAACTGGACCGGAGGGCCGGAACAAAAGCATGGATGGAGTGTTTGTGTGAACTAATATAAATTCAAGTAAACATCATTACATAAAAGGGTACGGTCTTTTTTTTTTTTAGTTTTATTCATTTCAAACGGGCCGGATCTGGCCCGCGGGCCGTAGTTTGCCCACGGCTGGATTACAGTCATATTAATGCCTGATGATCAGGTTGTAAACCAGGTAGGAAAGGCAACCACAGGGTCTTCAGGAGCAGAGCCCTCTAAGAACTTCGAAGCTTCAAGGATTGGATTGACTGCTTTCTTTCCTCCCTCCTGCTATTCAGTACCTTCTTTCGTGCTGGGTTTTCTTTAGCTCCAGAAGAAGGGAAAAGAAAACGGAACACGTTGATTTCGAAGTTAAAAACAATCTTTAAAAATTCTAATAGCAGAGTCAACCCTGTGAGAACAAGTCTGGGAAGGTTTGCTTGGTGCGTATGTCAGATTGGTGAGAAGGATTAGTCAGACTGCCCTCATGTTCTGTAGAAAATAGTGCTGACAGTCCACTTTCCCGGGTTTGAAAGGGCTTGAGGAAGTGAGATAAAGAGATGAGTTGAAAGGAAACGTGGGATGAATAGAAACATCGTAAAGGAGTTGAAATTGTTTAGAAGAAAAAGAAGATCCAGGTACTTAAAATAGTATTTAAAAATCTGGTTCTTGCCCTGACCGGTTTGGCTCAGTGGATAAAGCATCGGCCTTCGGACTGAGGGGTCTCAGGTTCGATTCCGTTCAAGGGCATGTACCTTGGTTGCGGGCACATCCCCAGTGGGGGTGTGCAGGAGGCAGCTGATCGATGCTTCTCTCTCATCGATGTTTCTGATTCTATCCCTCTCCCTTCCTCTCTGTAAAAAATAAATAAAATATATTTTAAAAATCTGGTTATTTACTGAGGGGTATAAAAGGTTATATTTAAAATTAGTTATTGATTTTTATAAGGATTATATGTGCATGATATAGTGAAAACCTGTGTCCCCCTCACTCCTTTTCTGTGTTTTTTTTCCTTTGGAGACAACAACTGTCATTGGTGCTGTCCTTCCGTAGATATCCTGCACATGTCTAGTCATGCATGCTTCTTCTTCGTCTTCTTCGAAAATGTGAATTGCAGCACTTCATAGACACTATTCCATACCTTTATCTCTTTCTTCTTTGCCTTAAAGTGGCCTTAGGGTTTTGTTCCATGTTATGGCCAGTAGGGCTGCCTTGTGTTTCTCATTTAACTGTATACTAATAGCATTCCATTCTATGGCTAGCCCATAATTGAACTATGTAGTTTTCTGTTAATGGGCAAGTAAGGTTGTTTTTGCTATCTCTATTTTGTGATTATAAAGTTTACTACCATGAATATTTCTGTTCATCTCTTATTTCCACATGTAAAAATAATGGAATGTCCTAGAAGGGGAATTGCTGAGCCAAAAATATGTGCATTTTGAATTTTGGTAGATTTTTGCCAAATGGTCTTGCACAGAGGTTATGCCATTTTATATTCCCATCAACAGTGTATATTTACTTTCCCACATCTTGTTTCAGTTTGTTAAAACCTTTAAAAATCTTTTCCTGATAGATTGAAAAGGCATCTTATTGTGTTTTTTGCTTTTCTATTATGAGTGAAATTAAATACTTAACTATGTTTTAGGTCCTTTTATATTTTTATATTATTAATCTGCTCATGCTCTTTGCCTGTTATCTTCTGGGTTGTTGAGTCTTGCATATATGTAGGAACCCTTTATATATTACTTGCTATGTGCTAGTATATATCTCCAATATATATTTTTTGTTTGGGGAAGATTTTAAAATTTGTAAAATTTTTAAATGATTCAGTTTTTAATGGTTTCAGGGCTTCTTAAAATTATAGTTAGAAAGGACTTTCCCACTGTGAGATAAAAGCTTTCCTATGACTTGCTTTTATGGTTTTATTTTTTTATTTTAATCTTTGGTCCATTGGAAATTTATTTTGCGGATGGAGTGAGGGAGGTATTAAATTTCATCTCAGAATCTTTGGAATATGATAGAGGATTTATGGCATAGAGAGATCTCAATAATGTATTAATTTTTAAAATGATTACTCAGGCCAAAATTTGCTATGGATTTGTCTTGAGTGGAAATTATTAGACTAGTTTGCAATATACCTCTGTGTAAATTGTTCAGGAATTTTTTCCATATTTGTTGCTGTCAAGAACCATTTTTTTCTAAATGTATTCCCAGGCTTGAGAATGAATTTTGGTTTCTAGCAGAAATACATTTGGTGGTCACAGTCAGTAGATTAAAATTATACAGAGTTTTGAAGCAGTAAGATTAATACAGTAACATATTATATAAGTTATACTTTTATATGAAAGAAAAAAGTACAGTATTGTATAAATAAAGTCAGCTAGAAGGTCTCTTTTCCTTATTTTCAAGTATGAAAATTCAAGGGTATCCTAGTGGATGCCTTTAAATTTTTTTTTATCTGATCAGATTTCATAGATAATCAAGGCCCCGTTAAAAGCAGAAACCTATGACTATCTGACTTGTGAGTGGATGGTACCAGCATGGCCATTTTCTAAGTAACAGTTGTGTTGTTGCCTGTTACAGATGCTATACTTCTCACTCAATTCCCAGAAAGTCATTTTATTGCTACTATTGGCACCTGTATATTAAATTATGTGCAAAAATGTCACATGCTTTTTATTTGATATAATTTTTGCATGCTTATTATTTGATACTAGAAGCCTGATGCACGAAATTCATGCAAGGGGCTTGGCCCTCGCAGCCAGCCGCTTGTTCTGCTGTTCGGTCTAATTAGCATATTAGCTCTTTATTATATAGGATAATTTTCAACGTCTTTTAACTTAGGATGCTTTTTTTTTTTTTTAAAGCCATGGACAGACAAGCTTGGCTGTGAATGTCCTACTTTGGATACCTGAGCAAAGGTGTAGATGGCAGTTCTTGCTGAGAGGAAGGAAAGATGGGTGTGTTACATTAGAAGGCATGAGGTTGGCCCAGTCCCTAGACTTACCTTGTCTATAAATTGTGATCCTCCTTACCTGTGAGGTCTATAACTGTGCCTCTCAGCATGGTTGGCCCAGGAGAGCTTTACCCATAGTGTTACCTTTTCTAGTTTTCCTGTTTATTTTTCTTAAGTCTGAAATAGCAAAAACATATAAGTGAGAGAAGCATGCAGTTTGAAAACATCTAATGTTAAGTGGACATGTTCAGTTAAGAAGAGACACATGGTGATGAAATAAATAATAAAGAATGAGCTGAAACCGGTTTGGCTCAGTGGATAGAGTGTCGGCCTGCGGACTCAAGGGTCCCAGGTTCGATTCCGGTTAAGGGCATGTACCTTGGTTGCGGGCACATCCCCAATAGGAGATGTGCAGGAGGCAGCTGATTGATGTTTCTAACTCTCTATCCCTCTCCCTTCCTCTCTGTAAAAAATCAATAAAATATATTAAAAAAAAAAAGAATGACTGAAACGTCCCCTTCCTTTGGGCTCTGCATTGGCTTATGTAGGTCACCTCCCAGGGCCTGGGGCAGTGGGCGGGGTCTGATGTCACAGGTGTAGCAGTCAGTGCAGTGAGTATGTGGTGTGTGATTTCCTGTCTTACCCACTGTAATTAACCCGGCGCGTAATAGACTGTGGCCGGCATGGTCACATATCACTGGGGTGCCAGCCACGCACCCGAGTGCAGGTAAATAGAGCTGAACAGTCTGAACACTGGCGTTCCTGATTCCATGCCTTGAGGTAGACTTTGGACAACAGGATGGAGACGGAGAGTGAGAGCAGCACTTCAGGGGATGACAGTGTCTTTTGGCTGGATTCTGAAGTTGTCACCCAGGTGACTGACAGTGAAGGGGGAGGAAGGGAAGAAACTTGGAGGTAATTATGGAATCCCCAGTTCTCTCTCTCTCTCTCTCTCTCTCTCTCTCTCTCTTTTCACCCCACGCCCCCTTCCCATCCTCTGTGTTTTCATCTCTTCTCAGTAAGACTTTCTGTTCTCTGGGGGATGGTTTGGTGCTGTAAGAGGACAGGTTTCTAGTTGTATATCACGCTCTTCACTCCCCAGCTCGCCCTGAGCTTGTAAAATGCATGAGAAATGACTTGTTGGAACACCAGGAAGAGAAGGTGTCAGACAGGTTCTGGAGTGGCATTTCAGGAATTTCAAGTAGAGACTTCGAATGAACTACTACCCCTTCCTGTGCCTGATTTGTATCGGGGAGATTTAATCTGAATTTGAATATAATAGGACTTTCTTTCTCTATTTTTAGAATGTGTGTGTGTGTGTGTGTGTGTGTGTGTGTGTGTGTGTGGCTGCTTTTGGTGCCTTATTCATGTGTATGAAACATTTTCATTAAGCATAAATTCATTATTTCATGGCTTGAATCCTTAATCTTCTTTCTGGCCTTATGGCTCCCTCCCTCTACCCCCACCAGTCTTGGTTTGGGATCTCTGACTGTAACTCCACAATTCTCCAAGTTGGAGAAGGCCTCTTGACTAAGCAGCTCTCCAGGTTCAATGGTGGTGAAGAAAGAGTTCTCACTCAGCCTGCGGACACAGGGCCATTTGTTTGTTAATTCTGTTGCACTGTTACAGATTTTAGGAGGCTTGATTTTGGCTTTTCTTTTTCAAAAAGGCTTAGCAAATTAAAGTTTTTTGGAGGCATGAACAAAATCTCTGGAAGAGTTTGTAGTACAGATTATCACTGCCACCCACATGGGCAATTAAACATCATTTATAATTTTACCTGTGAGTTCTCAGGTAGGTGAACATACCATTATTTCCATCAGATCTTGTCTTTGTGTTTAGTGTTCAAAAAGAGTATCTCTCTTTCTCAAGGTAAAGGATTTCTGTATCCACAGATTTCATTTTTAAAGTCTAGGTTAAATGACAAAAGGGATTGGATATTGAGATCTCTTGATAACTCACACTAAATTAGCTAATCAGTGGTTAAAACGAATAAGACATATGTTTTAAATTTTGAAAAATAATTTTAATGTTCAAAGGAACTATTTTATGAGCACATGGCATTCTTGTGCGAACTTTCTCACTCTCTCCATGACTTTATTTAGCCTTTCTTTTTTGAGTGTGCCATTTTTCTCCCAAGGTTGCTGGAGTTACTCACATTCCTTAGTTTTCAGTGTGGTCATTCTCACGGACAATCAGTAGGAGTAAAGTATTTATTTTGTTTGCATTGATACTGTTTGACCCGGTATTAAAATTGTGGGGTATTTGTCAAAGGAAGAAAACAACCTGGACTCTGTTGTTGTAATAGATGCGGTGCTGTGAGCCTCCATTAACTTGTTAGGCAACAAGAGCCTTCCTGGGCATGTGCCCCGACTGTGAATAGAACCAGTGACCTCTTGTTTCCTGGGTCAACGCTCAACCACTGAGCAGCACCAGCCGGACAAGGATACTTCTTCTTACATCTAGCACTGTGGGAAGTTGCCCAATCTCCTTCATGGCAGTAGTTCAAAGGTGTCTACCACTGAGTCACAGATCTCTCATTTTCTAATTTCTTACTTGTAGAGGGAAGTTAATGTCTCCCATTTCTCTATGGTAAGATAGTTCTTGGACTGAATATTTAATGATCATTAGAATCCTTAGAATAGAATAGTCCTTAGGGATTATCAGAAGGGGAATGTGAGGCAGAAAAGGAAAAACAAATGTTTTAATTCTTTTAAGAAAGAAAAATTCTACTCAGGAGAATTTTTGGGTGTACTAACCCAAATATGTTACATGCAGTGTACTAACCCAAATATGTTATACACAGAATATTCATTATCTACTCCTATCCAGTAAGTCTTATTTTACCTATTTTCCAGATTAAAAAATTAAAACTTATAAAGCAATTGACCTTATTGTCAGAATACAGTAGAGCAAAATTCTGAACTCAGGTGTAACTGATGTTGAAAGTGAAAGACTAGTTTTAGAAAAGATTTTTGATATGTCTGCTGCTAAGTGTTATGCTCTGGTCAGTAGTAATAACTGCTGGAGGCTGTAACAGATAAGCTCAGTTTTGTGAGGAGTTTTGAGCACCCATGATGTATAGATATGTAACCAATATAAAAGTGAGTTAATGCATACAATCATGTGACCTTATAAAGATACGACCTCTAGGATACCTAGCAATCATTCCTGACTCACAATCACAAAAAGTTCTAGTTCTTTGGCGTTTGAGGGTAGGAAGGGTTATTATATAATCTTTCTTATTTTTTATAGCATCTTTCTTAGTCTTCTCTAACATCACGTTATTGGCAGATAACATAGCCTGGCAAGTAGGACATGTAGTTTGAAACAGTTACAGAGATGATATGGTGCATAATTGAACCACATTTTTAGAACTATCTTTTTTTTTTTTAATCCTCAACTGGGGACATGCTTAGAGTGAGGAAGAGAGAAGGAGAAAGAAAGAGAGATTGATGTAAGAGAGAAACATCAATCAGTTACCTTCCGTATGTGCCCTCACCGAGGATCGAACCTAATCCCAGGTATATGCCCTGACCAGGAATCAAACCTGCGACTTTTCAGTGCATAGGACGATGCTCAACCAACTGAGCCACTTCAGCCAGGCAGAACTTGTATATCTTTAAAATCAGAGTCTGCAGATGCCCGGATCTCTCAATCAGATCTTCACTTTATCTCCATTGTAAGGTAATTGATTTTAAACGAGACAAGAAACTTCTAACTTCCGTTACACTAGATGATTTGGTGAACATACTTTAATTTTCTTGGCATGTCTATTGCTTTATAGCATCCCAGGACTAATGCAGTCCAGGAATTCGATTGGTTGGTTGCTTTATTCATGCTCTGCCTTATTTAAAACGGTACCATAAGTTAGATGTTGCAGCAGGAGAAATAGGTAACAAGGGCTTGGAATGTGATGTTATATTTCTTCTCATTCTTGTTTTTAATCACATTGAGGACAGATTACTTTAATGGCTAAATTCTTCTGGAAGTTCCTGCTTTTAATACCTTGACTGTTCTTTTGTCTTCTGTAGAAATTCGTGATTTGGGGGTTCTCAATCACTTTTTATGGGCTTGGAAGGCTAGAGAGGTAGCATTAGCAAGTAACTATTGACATATATGCCAATATCATACTCTGAAACTACTTATCCTTAATAATCTGTTATGTACAATACCAAAAAAGATGTGTATTTTGCAAAAAAAGGTTATGTTTATATTACTTTATAACCTTTTATGTGTGATCTAGAGTATAGTTTAGCCGTTCACATATTCTTTTAATATGTGAAATATAACTTGCACCTAACATACCCCTACCAGTGTTAGAGAAAAATAATAAATTTAATTGTAAACAGTATCTCAGAAAATTTTATGCCATATTGGAGTATAGCCATTAGCCTGACTGCCTTTATAATCTGTGAAATGAATCTGTCTTAATCATGGGGCATGCTAGTACAAGACTCTCTTGGTATTTCAGTCATTAAACTCTTTGCAATGGAATCTAAGGTGAGCCTTTTTTATATCTGTCTGTATAAGGTTTTTGAAGTTCAAGACAGGACTTAGAGCACAGAAACTATATAAAATTTCCTAGTTATTAAGTTGTTTATTCACAGTTAAAACTTTAAAAACCTATTTTTCCTTAACTTTTGCATTCAACTTAAACATTAAACTCGCTTAAAACAGTCAATTGTATGTTGAAACTTAGTAAATAAAAATTTCTGAAACATTTAAAATTCTGTTTATAAATGTCATATACTAAGTTTCCTCAAAAAAAAATCATGTGACTACCCTAGCAAGATTATATCTCCCTCTTAAGATTTTCAGAATACTCATACTTCCTCTTTCTCTCAATTCCCTTCTGCCTAGATGAGACTTTCTGCATTCTTTATTTATCACCATTCTCCCCCACCCCAGTCATAGTTTTTTGTTGAGATTTAATATTTTTATCATTCATTCAGATATAATTATACAGGCATACCTCAGAGATATTGTGCGTTTGGCTCCAAACCACTGCAATAAAGTGAATATTGCACTAAAGCAAGTCACATGACTGTTTTGGTTTCCTAGTGCATGTAAGTTACGCTTACACTATACTGTAGTCTATTAAGTGTGCAGTAGCATTATGTCTAAAAAAACCCAGTGTACCTGCCTTAATTAAAAATACTTCATTGTTAAAAAATGCTAACTATCTCCAGGCTGGTGTGGTTTAGTGGTTGAGCATCGATCAATGAACCAGGAGGTCATGGTTGGATTCCTGGTCAGGGCACAAGCCTAGGTTGCGGGCTCAATCCCCAGGAGGGGGCGTGCAGGAGGCAGACAGTCAATGATCTCTCTTATCGTTGATGTTTCTCTCTCTCTCTCCCTTCTGTTCTGAAATCAATAATAATAAAAAAAATGATAACTGTCACCCGAGACTTTAGCTAGTCATAGTCTTTTTGCTCGTGGAGGGTCTTGCCTCTGTGTTGATAGCTGCAGGCTGATCTGGGTGGTGGTTGCTCAGCGTTGGGGTTGCTGTGGCAATTTCTCAGTGTATGATAACAATGAAATTTGCTGCATTGATGGACTCTTCCTTTCACGAATGCCTTCTCTGTAGGATGTGATGCTATTTGAAAACATTTACCCACAGTAGAACTTCTTTCAGAATTGGAGTCAGTTCTCTCAAACCCTGCTGCTGCTTTATCAACTCAGTTTGTGTACTATTCTAAGTCCTTTGTTGCTGTTTCAACAATCTTTACAGCATCTTCACCAAGGGTAGATTCCATTGGACATCCCTCTCACAATCTGGGACCGCTGGATCCTGACCGCTGGATCCTAACCGCTCACCTGCCTGCCTGCCTGATTGCTCCTAACCGTTTCTGCCTGCCAGCCTGATCGCCCCCCTAACCGCTCCCTTGCTGGCCTGATTGACGCCTAACTGC